ATATGAGATCTTACCAGTGTCCGATCCGATTCAGAAAGACTGGCCCTCCAACTACTCTCTAGGCGTCTTTTCCGGCGCTTCAACTCCCTCAGCTCCTTGGTGAACCAAGGAGCCAAATGAGATCGGCGCCGGGTCAGAGGCCGCAAAGGCACAACCCGGTCCAGAGCTCCAGCGGCCGCCCTATCCCAGGCGGCCACTAGGTCTCCAGTCGAGGCGTGTGCCAAAGCCTCAGGAAATGGCCCAAGCTCCATCTGGAACCTATCAGGTTCCATCAGGTGCCTGGGGCGGAACCATCTTACCGACTCCGCCCCCCTGCGGCGGGGTGCAGCAGTTCAAAGATCGAGACGAAGGAGAGAGTGATCAGACCATGACAAGGGCTCAGTAACTATATCCCCTATCTCAAGATCACTCAACCACTGTCCAGAGACAAAAACCAGATCCAGCATGTTTCCCCCCGTGTGGGTAGGGCCATGAATTAACTGGGTCAGGTCCATAGCTGTCATGGAAGCCATGAACTCCCGAGCCACCTCAGACACCTCGCCTCGGCGGTAGGTTGAAATCCCCCATGAACATAAGCCTAGGGGTATCAACCGCCACCGCAGCGATGACGTTGAGTAGCTCGGGCAGGGCTGCTGCCACATGGCAGGGAGCCAGGTACGTGATCAGCAAACCCAGCTGAACCCCGTGGCCCCATTTCACAAGGAGGGATTCACAGCCGGCCGTCTGAGGAACAGTAGCCTCCCTCGGTCTCAGACCTTCTTTAATGATAACCGCTACCCCCCCGCCCCTGCCCTGTGACCTCGGCTGATGGAATGCATGGAAACCTGGTGGACACATTTCAACGAGGGGAACCCCCCCCTCCTGGCCCAACCAGGTCTCCGTAATACCTGCCAGGTCCGCACCCCCCTCCTGAATAAGATCACAAATAAGGGGGGGGGGTTTATTTACTACGGACCTTGCATTGCACAGCATCAGCTGAAGGCCCGGGCCCTGAGGGTCTATGCAACTTGGGGAACGGGTGGAGCCTTGGGGGCCGGAGCACGCCACCGCTCGTAAACAGTGAGTGCACACTCCCCTAACACAATATAGCCCCCTGCTCCCGCCATATCTACCCCTCCCACCCACAGTATTGATGTTCAAAACACTATCTGGATGAGCTCTAACCCCCCCACCCCCCACGCCGCACTTCACGGCCAGACCTGACCCTCCGTCTTGTGGGTTATCCCCCATACCCACAGCCCGAGTTCTAATTCGACCGTCCCCCTCCCTGGGACCCTTAAATGTTTAACTAAACATTTCCAAGTCATGTAAGTTTCCCAGTGGTACAAAAGGTATCTGAATGTTCGAATGGAACTAGGGTTAAAGATTGTAATATTTTTCTGGACTGTTCTATTTGCAGGATTGCAAAGTCAAAAACAAGCCCTGCACCCAAGAAATCCCTGAGATATTCTGAACACATATTCCAGTTGGTACATATGGATCTGGTGGGTCCCTTGAAAGCCTCTTTTGGTGGGAATCGTTACTTTCTGACAATTGTAGATGACCATAGTAGGTCTGGATTTGTTTACCCTATCAAATCCAAGGATCAGACATTGTCTAAGTTTAAGGAATTCTGCCGCCTAGTGGAGAATCAGCATAAGGTCAATATTCAAAAGATTTTGACCAACAGAGGAACTGAATTTAATTCAGCACAGTTCTCTGATTGGTTAAAACAGAAAGGCATAGTACACTTGCGAACTTCGCCTTTCAGAATGGAATTTCGGAAAGACGGAATGGCGTGCTGCAGACAATGGTAAGGTGCGCACTTGAGGATGTTAACTTAAGTTTTTCATATTGGGCGGAAGTTGTTTCATATGCAAATTATATACTCAACCGGGTATGGTCCAGTATGGTACAAAAGACCCCATATGAGATAGTGTATGGCCATAAGCCAAAATTGGCGCATCTTCATGTATTTGGAGTGATGGCTGATGTCCACGTCCCAAAAGAGCTTAGAAAGAAGGGGGATAAAGTCTCAGCCAAACTGAGGTTTATGGGCTATGAGACAGGTTCTAAGGCCTTTAGGTTTGTGGACACAAATGGGAGAATTGTAATATCTAGGTCAGCTACTTTTTACAAAGGCACTAACTGGAGCAGGATCCATGCAAATGAGATCCTGGCTCAAGATTCCCCTCGTAGTAAAAATAAAAACGCAGAAAGTGTCTGAAGGCCTATCTACTGATAGCGACACCTCTGGTTTTGGAGACGAGGAGGACAATACACCCCCCCAAACCCTTGAAGGGACTCTTAAAGTGGAAAACGAAGACAGCATGGAAAGAAGGGCATCCCACTTTAAAAGAAAAGAATGGTGATGGTGAGGAAGATAATCCATCAGATAGTACTGGAGTGGATGAAGAATCAGCTAAAAGGCCAGTTCGATCCACTAGGGGGAAGAAGCCAAAAAAGTATGAAGGTTTTGTCACTTCTGTTGACCAGGTTTTGGTTATACCCCAAAGGTATGAAGATGTGTTAATGCTATCTGATAAAGAACAACAAAATTGGCGTGCTGCGATGGATACCGAATTGCAGAGTTTGAAAAAACTAGAGGTATTCACCCCAACAGTTACCAACGAACAAAAAGGTAATTGGCACAAGATTTAAGAAAAAGCCCATTAAAGATGGGAAGTTTATTTACAAGGCGAGGTTGGCTGCACAGGGTTTCTCACAAAGATTCCCTGATGATTATGTTGACTAACATAATCTCGCCTACAGTGCGGCCTGAAAGTGTGAAGACCGCACTCACTATAGCTGCCATACAAGGGGAGAGTGTTACCAATTTGACGTACAAACGGCATACTTACACGCCAAGTTAGATAAGAAAATATATGTTAAGGCTCCTCAAGATGTAGATCACCAGGAAAATGATATTTGGCTTTTAAACAAAAGCCTCTATGGCCTTAAACAATCTGGCAGAAGGTGGTACAAATGCCTTACCAGTAGTTTAAAACAGATGGGTTTTACAATCTCGTCAACCGACGAATGTGTGTTCATTAAAAATCACCAGAATATTAAATGAACAGTCCTGGTTTACGTGGATGATATTTTGTATGTCTGCAAGTCTGAGGATAGATGTAAGTTGTTTTCCAAGGAGTTAAGCAAGAATTTTGCCCTAAAGCCTCTGGGTCGGATCGATAAATTTCTAGGAGTCCAATTCGTAAAAACGGAGAAGAGATATGAACTCTCCCAACAGGATAAGATTATAGAATTGGTAGAAAGGTGCAATATGACAGAGGCCAAACCTTGTGACACACCCATGCAGACAGATTTTCTTAAGAATATGTATGCTGAAAGTGAACCTTTTGAGCAAAAAACACTTTATAAATCAGTGATAGGATCATTGTTGTATATTGCAAAGTGGACTAGGCCAGATATCAGTCTGACCGTAAAGGTTCTGTCCAGGCATTCTGAGAATCCCACTCAATACCACTGGAATGGAATTAAAAATTCCATTTATTTATTTAAAATTAAGGTATTTAAATAACACTGTTAAACATTTACTTTTATTAGAGCCAGACATATCAGATAAGCCAAGTTTGTGTTGCTACGCAGATGCTGATTGGGCAGGGGACATTAAGTCCAGAAAGAGTACTTCAGGTTATGTCATTTTCCTGAATGGGAGTCCCATCCATTGGTACTCAGGTAAACAGAAGTTAATTGCAACTTCCACTGCTGAGGCAGAATATGTGTGTTTATCGAAAGCATCTAACAATCTGGTATGGTTTGATGATCTTCTAATAAACCTGTGGGAAGAACCAGTGTATCCTACTGAGATTCATGAGGATAACACAGCTGCTACCAATATCTCGCAGGCTGATGCAGTGGGACAGAGGTCAGTTACATTGACATCAAGTACAAACATGTCAGACAACTGACCAGGATAGGTTTTGTTAGGACAGTTTTCTGCGAGACAAAGGAACAAATAGCAGACTTGCTCACGAAGCCATTACCTAGGGATCAACATCAATTTGGATAAGATATCTATGACAATGTAAGGTTGTCTTTCATACCATTGTAATGTATATGTTCATGACTTGTATGTACATGTATTTCTGTAATCAATTATTGCAGAGAAGGGGATTGTCAGAGGAAAAACCTTTTAGCATATTGCTGCAATTAATTGATTGGTTGGTTTGAACATTTTGAATGAGCCAATCAGAGCACAGCTTCCTGGCTCTGAGTTTCCCGCATTTTCCAACGGTCAGTTGGTCAGTATATAAGTAGCAGCAGGATTGCAGCCAACCCACACAGAGACTCTCATGCAGACTCTCTCAAAGACTCTCAAAGAGAACCTCCAGAGTTGAAGTCACTACAAAGAGCTGAGTCACTGCCTTGCTCCTGAGAAGACTCACAAACAACGCTGAGAGCCTCCCATGCTTGGGAAGATTACAGCTAATGGACTTTGCTGAGAGGAGAATCTTTTAGGTTGTTTGATGCCTTCTTGTAGGTTTTGCTTTTATGTGTTTTTATTAAAGTAATTTCTCAAGACTCCTCTGTCAACTTTGCATGCTTTAGTGCATTTGTGTGCGTATCGGGCCACGGTCCATTCAAACCCAGAACCCTTCCTTCACAAGAGTTTCATTTGCTCAGACTGCTGCAGGCCTGTCTTCTCCAGCAAAGTTATCAAGATGTTTCTTTGAGGATGTCTTAGGGGGCTTTTCTGTATTGCCTTGGGATAGGAGATAAATATATATGTTGTTTACCACGAAATAAATTTCAGAAGAGCTCAAGAGGTGAAAGCTTACAATTTTAGATTTCCACCTTTCCAGAGGGGATTGAATCCAACTTAATAATAAAATTTAGAATGCTTCATCTCTATCATGAGGATAAAGTTTCTGATATCATGAAAAAAATTAGAAGTCTCTAAATACATGGGTATAATTTCTGATCCAATCAATCTTCCAGAAATAATAAACAGATTTAGTTCTTTGGCAGTCACCCCAAATTTACTGTGTTTAGCTTACCTGCTTAGCAATGTAGCTACCAAGAGGAGGCTAGCGAAGCAGCCTCTCTGACAGTTGGCGTTCTTTTTCTGTCTCTGGTGCATTTCCCCACCACAATTGTCGCAACATCGGCACAGGCAGAAACAGAGGCCAATCAGTGGAAGCAACAGGACAAATAGGATTCCCAGGGCAGCTGAGATTATGAAGCCAATTTCATAGTAAACTGCCTGCAGTTTAGAGAAAAGCAGCATGTGTTACAACTTGAAAGTGAGGCTGGTAATGCTGATTCAGAATGCAACAGCTGTTGAGCATTCTCAACATGATTGTCCCATGGAAGGGCTTGATAGGAACTACCATCCTTTGGATGCAAGCCTCTCTTGAGCTCCAGACAGGAGAGGCAGAAGGTGCTACTAGCCCCTCTCCTCTGGCAATTCTGTGACAGAGCACACAGATACATCAGGGCAGGAGAGCAACCATCTGCTCAACTCAAAAGCACATTTGAAATTGGGGCAGCTAAATCCCTAATAATTTCACCATTTTCCAAAAGTGTAACTTCAGTAGCACCAATGCATGGGTGAAAGGATTCCGGTCAAAAAGATCACTCTTATGCTACCTCTGACCTGACCAAGTCACTCTGGATCTTTTTTTCCAAAAAGATAAGGGAATGAAATATTTGAACCTTCTTGAGACTTCAAGAGAACCATCATAAAATAAATGGTGTACATAGTACAGTTCAGATCCATGAAAAAGGATTCCAAGCAAAGCAAAAAGTGCTTCCATAAGATCTCAGAATACTAAATTTAAGCATTGCAAGCTTCAACAGGGAAGCAGCTCTGAAGAATGGAGACTGGATTCCCTGTAGTAACATCATTTATGGGCTCATGGGATTACCCCTTATATATTGGTGTACTCCAAACCACCGGTCATCTTGTTGTAATTTATGGTTCATTCTCCTGTGATCTATTGTGTTTTTGTGTTTATTGTGTACACTGCTTGGAGCCACATTTTTGTGAGTGGGTAGCTACAGAAATCTATGAATGAATGAATGGCTTTCTTGGTCTCACTTATTGCAATGCTTTTTTCCTATTTCCCACTCTAGCCTACAGAACTAGTCTGGGATGAATTGGAACTATCATCGCCAATTGAAGGATTAAGCAAATCTGGCGTCGCTTAGCATTTTTTAAAATCTGTCAATACTAAGTGTGGTCAGCTGCTAGCTTTCAAAAGGAGAACTGATAAACCATGGAGAATGGCACTTGTTAGCAGCTATTATCTGCAGCAGAGAAATAAAAACACTGAGAGGCAGAATTCTCTGAAGTTTTTGCCTGATCATGGTTGGAAACAAGATGCACACAATACAAGATGCAATGGTGGCCTGCAATAAGACTAAACCTGCCATTCACTTAGCATGTATTTAAGTGGCAAAAATACAACAGAATAGACCCCTGTCCTAGACTAACCAAAGCATGAAAGGAGTGTCACAAACTCTCCCAAGCCACTTTCATGTCATTACACTCCAGTGAACCCATATGAAAGATTCCAGTTCCTCAAAAGAAAACAGCTTCCAGCATAAACAAGAGCAATATGCAGTGTTTTTGGGTATGATTTGGAATTTTGTGAGATATAAATAAAAATATTTTAAATACAATTTTCTTAAAATGAGACAAGTATTTTATAAATGAAATCAACCATGTAATGGTATTTTAAAAGCAAAGGGTGTGTAAGGTAATAACAAAAAAATTTACCTGAAGAGTCAATACAACATTTTCGGGCTGTGGAAATCAGAGGAAAATGATGTACAGAGCAGCAGGAATAAAAAGAAAACAGGTGAGCAATAAATCAAGCACTCACAGAATTTATGCAGCTACCAATTCAAGTAAAAATAGCAAGGAATAATTAAGTGATTAAATGAACCAAGTATTTACAAAGCAAATATGAATGCAAATGACAAAGTGAAATATCTTTGGTTTTTAACACTTAACTGACATTTAATTTGTCCTAGCCCCACTAAGAGAACTAGCTGCCTCTTAGTACAGGCTGCATTTTTTAAAAAAAGTAATGTTTTATTTCAAATTGAATCCTTCGACAGAACAAAGCATATAAACTATTATATGATTTTTTTAGTTTTGGGGCAGAAGTGCATCACATTTCATTCCTTTTTTATCATCCTATAGAAATAGATAGAAAAACACTATTTGGTTTAAATGTTTTTTCTAAATGTACTTTATCTAGGGCAATTTTTCTCAACTTCAGCCTTTAAAATGTATGAATTTCAATGATATGCTGGCTGGGGAATCCTGGTAGTTGGAGTCCATACATCTTAGTGTTGCCAAGGTTGAGAAACACTAATACAGGGAGTTAAATTCCCAGGGGAATCAACACAGCAGTTGTGTCAAAACCAATGAATTCAGTCTCTGCTTTTACATCTTTGAAAAAGATATTTATGCAGGTTCAGATATAGATTAAACTTTACCCCAGAGACTAACATTTCTCTTTTAGTTTCTCTTCTCTTTTTCTCTTTCCTGCCATTAATTATAAATTGGTTACCTGAAAAAGTTTCTAATTCTTTAACAAAAATAATTTCTAAAAAACGGTTAGTTGTCATTATTTAGATAATCAGTTAAACAGATACAATACAAAGTATTAATTCAGGCATTCCAAATTTCCTTTATTTAAAATGTGCCTTTTTTACTGACATATAATGCACTTTATTCTTTTTCCTGGTATGTTGGGGCCAAGATTAAAAGTCCTTCACAAATATTTGATATTGATTTAGACAAAGTAGTACACTCTGGTTTCCTCAAGCCCAAGAACAAAGTTGGAAATATCTGAACACTTTTCAAGGAGGGCCTAAACCGACATTGGAGGCAGAATGATCAACTGGAATGTGAAGTTTTGACAGAAACTGTGATTTTAACTACTCTGTAAGTGTTTCAAGCACAAAAAGCAGTTTTAAGTTTAGTTTTAAGATCAAAAGAGGGATTCATTTGAAAGACTAGGCTGTTCTGGACTCAAAACACTACCGGGAAGGTCAAAATGTTTTTACCATTTTGGCATTGAACGTTTTGAACTGTTCCAAGTTCAAAAAAACTTCTTACCAATCCACTACTCAATTATATCCCTGGGTGTAAGCAGAATTGGCCTGGAGAAGAACTCATCAGAATAAATCCCTATTTATAAGTCAGTTGGCCACCACACCAATGCCAGCTTTTACAGAGAAGCATCTCTGATACTATGGAAAACTAAGGAAACTCTTACTGATGTCTCAAATATTGACCTTCCTAATCAGTTGCCTGACTTTCAAAAAGTGTTCAAAAATACGTAAAAACATATAGTATAGGGAAAGTGGAAATAAAAATTGCAGTCATAGTTTATGAAACATTTCAACATATAAATGGATTTAGACTCGCCTTTTAAGTGTGTGAGGAACAATCATGAGATACAACAAGGTTATCATTTATGTGGAACATCAGAAATTTCATCTGTGAAACTATGAAACTATGGCTTTGTGCGGTAGATTGATAACCTCTAAGTCCTTTTTATGGCATTCAAAGGGCAGTGTCTTTCAGTCATCTTCAAAATCCTCTAAAGCAATTGTGTTATCTCCATTATTGCAGGGAAGACAACTAATAATTTAGAAAAAGGGTCACACACAACCTCCATCAGACTATGTCTCCCAGTTCACAAACCTTCATCAAGAAGCAGGAGGTTGCAGGAGAAAAAAAAGTTTTCAACTCCACATCCAGAAGATTCAGGAAGACCCATCCAGTTCCCATGATTCCTTCTTACCCATGATGCATTGACAACTGAGAAGCAGCCCCCCGCCCTTTTGTTTCATCCTCTCCTCCCACAAAATAGATCTTTTAAACACAGAGAAATGTGCCTGAATTTAGCACAAAATAATAAATACTTTGTACAAACTAAAGCCGCACACTGTTTTAATAATGTAGGAATAACATAGAATAGATAAAAACAATGTTTAAGTAATTGGTACTTATTTTAAGCTAAGAGCCTATCAAGAGACATTGGGAGAAACAAAATCAATTTCCCATATATTCCAGTTTCATGCTGATCATATGGTTATCTTAAAATGGTCAAAAATGAAAAGCCTGAAAATCACTGGGATTTTCACAAATAAAACTTATTTTTGTAATTGTCCAAGCTGGTGCATTTAATTTGCATGGTAAGCTTATTTACCATGGATTTAGCATGGATTTTGGCCTGATAATTTGGTTCAGAAACCTCATAAATGTAGTTGAGTTCAACTTTTAGGGTTCTGAAGTTACCATAATCTTTGGTATGAGAAATTCTCCATCTGTTCAAAAGAACAAAATGTTCAAGTCGCATAAGAGATTAGTGTGAGATAATAGTGACCACTACAAACCAGAAAAAGGAGGTGGGAGATCACTTCAATTAACCTGAGCATTAAATGAATTCAATCAACCTTTCAGTAGGAAATCTGAAGTTACAACAGCACTGAAAAAAGTGACTTTTAACCAGTCCTCATACTTATTTCTGACATAGCACATAGACCTGTGATCCAAATTTGGGTGCTTGGCACCTGGCATGTATTTTCAACAGCTGCAGTGCCCTGTGTCATGTAATTGCCATTTGCTACTCTTCTAGCCGGCATTCAACAAGCAAAGCTAATGGGGGAATCTGGAGTTGCTTAACAGCTATGTGATTCATTTAACAACTGCAGGGATCTGCTTAACAACGATGGCAAAAAAGGTTGTAAAATTGGGCATGATTCATTTAACAACCATTTTGCTAAGCAATGGATATTGTGGTCCCCAATGTGATCTTAAGTCAAGGACTACCTTTACCAATAGATAACATACATTGATTTCAACGGGAATTCTAAAAAGATTTTGGAGCTACCAGTTTAGGGCTGCAAAACCTGGATGATTACTAGATGGTGGCAATAATTTTGAAAATAGTTTTCTGCTACCATCTTGTGGTTCTCTAGATTTTTGTAGCCCCAATCTGATAGTCCTGCTTTATTCTTCTCTTGACTCGCTCATTCTAGAGGCAAAGGAGAATATTCCAAGGACTATTAATATTTCATTAATGGACCATGATGCTTTGCTGCAACTCAGGAACAGAGAATCAGTGCTCTACACTCCTCAACTGGCCAGCTATTCTTAAAGTTTCTTGTCAGTTTGCCCAAATCAGAAATGGGCATCAAAACATGACAGATCCTCTTCTCTCCTCTGTCCTTTACCTATACTGGCAACACTTAAGAGAACTTAGTAATGCAGCACCACAGCATTCAGAAAACTTTCATAATCTGATGTGTGCAACAAGGAACCAGGAATGGAATCATTGTGCAGATATTGAAAACAATAAGCTTTCTCTGAAGCCTAGTCTATTCCTAAAACATCTCTGTGACCAGTGTTTCACAATGGAAAATGGTAAACAAGCAGAGCAGCGAGTTGGATTGAATGGATTCTACTTTTCTTCCAAGTTTCCCTTTCTGTGATTGGACTGCCTTCTCTAATACTCTCAGCGAAAATCATTCCAAACAAAAGGAGATTGTTATCAGCACTGTGGAGCTCATCTCTGTAACATTAGCACATCCTAGGGGTGAAATGCTACCAGTCGTGCATCTCCCAACAAGGGCTGGAAAAAGAGGCAAGTAGAGGGGTGCTTCACTTCCACTCTGGAATACAGAGTGAGTCTCCATCTGCCACCGTCGCCCTTCTCTTCTCAGGACAGACGAGGAGTGAGGGGGATGGACGGGGGGGGGGGGCAGCCAGTCGACAGGAAGCCACAGCAGGGGGACGAAAGAGCTTCATTTATCTGGGAACCTGAAATGACTCTTGATTTAAATCATATGGTAAAAAGCACCCAAAGAAGAAAGAACAACATCAGCAAAAAAAAAAAAAAACCAAACAAGCCCAACCCTCACCTGTTTTTGGAAATGGTTCAAGAGGGACACACACACGCACGCACACACACAAACGAGAGACGGACAAAGAAAGAGGGACAAAGAGAAAGATGAGAGAAAGAGAGAGATGAGAGACAGAGAGGGCTGCCTGCCATTTCCTGCTGCAGTCAGGCAGTGAGAGAGAGTGAGAAAGATTCAGCTCCGTCTGCTCCCCTCGAGGCAACCTCATGATGCTGTGCTGTAACAGCCTGACAATCACTCCTTTTGCAATGCAAGGTTTATTTTGGTATCTTTCCAGAGACAGAAAGAATGTGGCCGAATTTCCTTACAGTTATTCCCTGAATGTGGGAGGTGGGAAATAGGGGTGGGGAGTGGGGGAGAGGAAGGGAGGGAGGGAGGGAGGGAGGGAGGGAGGGAGGGAGGGAGGGAGAGAGAGAGGGAGGGAGAGAGAGAGAGAGAGAGAGAGAGAGAAAGAGAAAGAGAGAAAGAGAGAAAGGAAGGAATTTTTGGATTTCACCACTGCTTTGTACGGAGGATTGGCGGGGGTGGTGGAATGCGCAGCCCTCTGGGATGGAGAGTGGGGCAAGAGAAGGCTCCGATGTTCGCTTGGGTGGCGGAGGGAAACTCAAAGCGTTGGGGGCTTTAGAAGAGGCAGAATGTGCTTCAAAATGTACAGCTCTTGCTTCTAACAGTAAGTGACGTCAAGTTGGCCATGCCTACCCGGTCACATGACCACCAAGCCATGCCCATCAAGCCACACCCACAGAACCGATAGCAAACATTTTTACATTTCACTCCTGCAATGAACATACAGCATGATTCTACATACTGTGCCAGAAAGGGTTAATTTCATTCAAATGAAAAGTATTGCTGGTAAACAGATTCTCCCAAAGCTGATTATACAAGAAAGAAACAAGTACAGGTAGTCCTTGAGTTACGAATGTAATGGAGACTGCCCATTCCATTTGTAACCCGAGAATTCATGGGAATGAATTTCATACCTTGAACATGATCTCTCCCTTTCACCCATGCATTCGCTAATTGAATGTTCAGTTTGTTAAGTGCACATGAGGTATTTCAAGGTGGGGAACACCTAGTGATGGAACAGGCCACCTGATTAAGACCACCCCCCGTCCTATTGAAATACTTCATGTTCCCCACAACTGCTTTCCCCACTACCCAACCTGCTGTACCAGGTCACTTACCATGTGAAGATCTAGGAAGCTGTCTCCTTTCCAGCCTCTCAGCTGCACGCGCCCCTCCGGAGCTCCATTTTGGGCTGCAAAGTGCCAGACAAGGCCTGCGCATACCAAAACAGAGCTCCAGAGCGGCACACACATCTGAGAGGCTGGAAAAGAGACAGCTTGCTAGATCTTTGCATGGTAAGTGATCCGGCGCGGCAGGTTGGGTTGGGGGGAAAGCAATTGTGGGGAGCATGAGGTATTTTAGTGGGTCGGCCTGCCCCTTCGGAGCTCTGTTTTAGGCTGCAAAGTGTCGGATGAGGCCTGTGCACACCAAAACAGAGTTGTGGAGCTCCATTTTGGGCTTCAAAGGTTTTTTGCAAAGATGGCAAAAGGCTTTAGAAATGAAGGGAAAGCTTCAATGTTTCTGGCCTTCTCCCCATTTGCAAAGCCTTTTGCTGCAGTTCTCATCCAGGCTTCCATTTGCAGAGAACAGAGGCCTAAAATACTGTGAGACCACCAGAGATCAATAGCATGAGATCTCGCGCTGATCATGTGTGATTTTGCAGTACTTTAGGTGTCCATTCTCTGCGTACTCACCGAGGGCCTGAAGCACCAAAACAGGTCAAGAAAGTGAAGGATATCTAGATTTTTGCAAGATAAGTACAGTATACACAGGCCTAGTGCTTTTGAAGATCCGGCGCGCAGGGGGAAGGGGAATAGACAGGGTGAATGTTGCAACGCCTCTGCGATCATTCATAAGGGCAAACAACTGCCATGGTGCTGCAACATTTGTAGTTTCAGGACTCAATCGTAAACACTAGGGAGCGCTTATTGTATAACTTCGAACGTTCACCAAGGAAACACTCGTAACTCATACAGGATTGCCTGTATAAAGAAACTGCATTCAGAAGCCCTAGTGATGAGAAACTTCCACTGCGTCTACAGAACTCAATTTATCTTAAAATTGTTTTGCAACAATATATTATCAGCAAAACTGATCTATGCAAAAAGAAATATGTTTTCATTTTATAGATTTCAAAAATTTCATAAATCTTTTAGGAAAATATTGAATTATATGGAAATTATGTGGACACAAAGCAAAAGGAAATAGCAGGCAGATCTTCATCTGTAGAATCTGGAAAAGTAATCAGGAAATGTGGCAGAGTTCATATATGTTGTGGCCTGACAGCGGCCTGTGCAGATTGTAGCTGATTCCAACAACAAAGAGGCTGGTGTGGTGCTGCACCAGCAGCCTCTACAGCTGGCGCTCGAGTCGGACAGTGAGGGGGCTGGAGAAGATGTGGTGTCAGAGGCAGGGATTCAGGCAGGGCCTTCAGAACCTCCAGAAGCTCCTTTAAGTGAAGAGGACGAAGAGGAGGAGCCTCTTCTTAATGCACGGGCGCGCAGAGCTGCCAAAAGGCAGGAGTGGCTCCTCAGGAGGAGATCTCCTCGAGAATAAGGCTTGGGGCTAATTGGCCACTCCCTTAGACTATTTAAGGAGGAATGCCAATTGCAGCAAGCTGTAGGGAACAACTTTAGTTCACTCTCCTTCGCGTCTGGATTCTCTGCAAAATTGCTTCTGGGCTTTCTGCCAACTCTAGTAAGACTGTGATTACCTTATCTTAGAATTCTTGTAGGATATTAAGCACGTTTATTAACAGACTTTGGTTGAAAAAGACTGAGTTATTTGAGTAAAATAAACTTTGTATAGATTTTATGTGTGCTGCGTTCTTTGTTGGTCCGTAGCTGGGGCAGAACAATATAACAGTGTTTAGCTTGTAAAGAAAATCTCAAATGTATTACATGAAAATGTAAATAAAGCAATAAATTTACCTTTTGATAATCACCAGGCTTATTTCCAAATGTCTGTAGTGCTAACTTTTTGATAAGATCTGCAAAAAAAGCAAGAAGATTTCCAGCTTTTAGAGATAATAAAAAAGAGAATTAAAAAAATATATTTTGAACAATATTTATACCCAATAATCACAGGGTACCAGTATTCAATGGAGAAATGATAGGCCCCACTTTATTGCTTCAGCTAGCCCATAAACAGTTCTATTGACAGAGGCCTTTAGGATTTTTAGGATTAAAAAAATTAGTTTTTAGAAGTTCCACGTAGTCACTCTACTAAAATTCCCCATCCTAAGATTAGTATCAGGTCCTGAATCAAAGAAGAAAAATGTACAACAGAAAAGACAAATTGCTTAAAACCAAAGAGTTGAACAAGGTAAAAGGAATGATTTTAGCACCTTCAAAATACTGTAAAGTACTCACTTTTCATTCATATCCAAAATTTAACAGAATAACAGAGTTGGAAGGGGCCTTGGAAGTCTTCTAGTCCAAAACCCTGTTCAAGAGGAGACCCTATACCAGGGTTGTCAAACTCAAGGCCCACAGCCATCCGATGTGGTCGGATCTGGCCCGCATGGCTGCCCTGGAAACTCTAAGACTCCAGCCCACGTCGCTTTGGCCTGGCCACCATCCCAGCGTGAGCCCGTGCGCACAGGAGGCAGGTGCACGTGCACACAGGCCTGGCCCACCCCATCCCGGTGTGCACGAATGCGCACAGGAGATGGCGAACCAGCATTGTTTGGGCCCAGCCCACCCCATCCTGGCATGGATGCACCAGGTTGAAAATAAGCATCACCGACCTTTCAGGTGTGTGTGTTCACATGCAGGGAGGGAGGTGTCCGGTAGCAGGGGCTCCGCACCTGGCCTTCAAAGAAACAAGTGCGACGGCAGCAGGCAGAATCAGGGGGGAAGCATGTGATGCAGACCATGTGCATGCTCCATCCCACATGGCTGGAACGGGCAGGTGGCTGCCCGGCACAGCCAGCAGACCGGACAGTGTGCCTCTCTCCTGTGCCTCTGCCGCCAGCTACTGCCACCGTGGGCCAAGACAAGATCAGGGTGGGTATGGGGCAGCTGCTGCCAGACACCATCTGCCCACCTACTCCATCCTGTCTGTTTCTGCTTGCAGTTGGAGAGCAGTTGGAGGAGCTGCTGGTCATCTCCTTGGCCCCCTTATGGGTCTTGCATTTGGCTCACGTGTGGAGCGTGTTCTCCTTGAGCACCCAACACACCTTGGCACCGCTGTGGGCCACGGCCACCACCGAGGCTGCCAGCAGCTCACGCAGGTCCATTAGACTGCTGCCTTGCCGCCCAGAATATCAGGCCCATCTAGCCCAAAGGAGGCGAAGTGGCCAGCTAGAAAGGCCGAGTAGAGGTGGTAAAGTACGCCCAGGCCCAGCAGGCAAAAAGTGACCACTGCAAGTGGAAAAGCCAAATCCCCATCAGCACCAGGCCACCCAGGCCCAGCCAGGATCGCATGCCTCCCCACCATCTCTGCTGGGTCTGAGTGGCCATGGTACTGATGGGGATCTGGCTTTCCCCACTCGCGGTGGCAGTCTTTTGCCTGCTGGACCTGGGGGCACTCTACCACCTCTACTTGGCTTTTCTAGCTAGCCGCTTTGCCTCCTTCAGGCTGGGGCAGGCCTGCCGAGCGGCGGCGGAGTTGCCACTCAGGAGCTGTCAGGGGTAGAGACCCCGATGATGCGCACCCTTCACTGGGGCTACTTGGCAGGGAGCAACAAGCCTTGCCCTGCCCTGCGAGGCAGCAGCTCCACAGCACTTTCAGGGCACTGCCTGACCGACACAGCTCCTTCAGATAGAGGTCCTGAGAATGCGGACCCTTTTCTGGACCAAAGCGGCTCCGCTGAAGGCAGCCTTTTGTCTTACAGCCCCCCCCCTGCCACATAAGAGCCGAGGTGGCGCAATGGTTAGAGTGCAGTACTGCAGCTACTTCAGCTGACTGCTAGTTCAGCAGATCAGCGGATCAAATCTCACTGGCTCAAGGTTGACTCAGCCTTCCATCCTTCCGAGGTGGGTAAAATGAGGACCCAGATTGTTGGGGGCAATATGCTATTTAGTATATTGTCTTTGGTGTAAGCCGCCCAGAGTCCTTGGAGAGTGGGCGGCATAGAAATACAATCAATCAATCAATCAATCAATCAATCAATAAATAAATAAATCTCCATTCCTAGTTGAGGGTTGCAGACAAATTCCCCGTTCAGCCGGCGTTCCCGAAAGGTGCAGCTCAGCCATTTCAAGCACCATTGCTAGAGGCCTGGGAGGGCAAGGGTGAGGTGAGGAGCCACCGATGGGAGCTCCTGGCCCTGCATCCCTCATCCTCTGGAGCTGCATAGATCCCACTTTCTGGCACTCCCAACAACCCCGTGAAGCAGGCCAACCTCTGGCAACAGGTCTTGCCACGTCTCTTCCGTGGAGACCTTCCCCAACAATCCTAGAGAAGGCGGCACAGGGGGCGGCAGCAGAGACTCCACCTGGTGAGCCTTCATTGCTCTATAAAGAGCTGCCCATGTGCGGACAGGGATGTCAGGGTTCTGACGGATGCCCTAATTAAATCATGAGTCTCGAGCCAAGCTTCAAAAGAAATCCAATTATTTATTAGGAGCTACATGTCAGCACATTCCCAAGTGAAACCAGCTCTGACCCTATATAATTTACGCTCCAATATGACCCTGTTTTCCCCCTCCTTCCAGGGTGTGTCATTAATCACATTCACCAACGGAGCAATTTCACAGGTTGTAGAGGTCACTCCCCTCACTGCTTTATTTAACCCTGGGATACAGCCTTGAGAGAGATAAGCGTGGAATGTGCATCTGTCTTGGGCTGCTGTGCCATTTCACTGGTTTCCCATCCCCCTGGCCTATTGCAACTCGAGAGCAGGCCAGGGATGCTTTGCGAGTTGTCATTTGGCTCCCCTTACTTCCTGAAGGCAACTTGTGCAAAGCAAAAACAATTTGAGTACAGGTATAGATTTTAGGGTTGTGACACACACACCCCGCCCCCCACAGGCTTGTTTGGGTTGTCTGCATGGAATTTTGCTATGAGGCAGTCAGCCTGGATGTTCCTACTCTTTATCCAGGATGCCTCTGATAAGGGGTAGCCCTTCCACTTAAGTATTGGAGTTGTCTCCTGTGCCACCTCAAGTCAAGGATTCGCTGTACCTTGTAATGGGTTTGGCCCCCTATGACCATGGGGTCCGGGGGCCCACGGGGTAGTGGCCTCAGGGTCAATCCAACCACAGGTTTTAAGAGGATACTATGGAATATCAGGTGTATCTTCAGTCGGTCAAGCTGACTGAGGGGGGGGTCCCTTGGATATTCAGGCATTGGGACGAAGTCCATGCCAATCACTACTTTGAATGGAGTTGGTCCCATGCTACTCCTATCAAAATGCTAGCATTATTGTACGCTACCTCAGCAGAAGGCAGGAGGTCCGCCCAACTGGACTGCTGATAGTTCACGTAACACCTCAGGTACTGTTCTACCATGGCATTCAGTCTCTCTGCCCCCCCCCATTGGTACTCGGATGAAAAGCCAAGCTAAGGCCTTGGGATGACCCAATGGACCGCAGGAACTCCCTCCAGAATTTAGCTGTGAACTGGACCCTCTGTCTGAGATAATTCTCCGTTGCACTCCATGCAGACGGTAGATGTGCTTCAGGAACAGTTTGGCTAGCTGCTGGGCCAAGGGTAGTCCACTGTAGGGTTTGAAGTGTACCTGCTTGGAGAATAGGTCTATTACAGTCCAGATCATCATGCTTCCCCCATTTTTTGACAACTCCACTATAAAGTCCATTGCAATTTCCTCCCATAGCCTCGTTGGTTCTGCTACAGGTTGCAGCAGTCCCGGGGGGGTGTGTGTTTCCTGGTCATTTATTCATTGTGGCGTAGATGGTGCAACTTTTCACATAACTGTCTACATCTTTCTTTATGTCGGGCCACCAGAATTGCCTCCGTGCTAAGTGTAAAGTCTTTAGGAACCCGAAGTGGCCTGCCGGTTTGACTTTGTGACTCCTCTGGAGGATTAGGTGAGTAAGGATTCTAGGATGTAGAGTTTCATCCCCTTCCACACTAGGTCATCTCTTTTTGTCAAGATGTGTTGGTTGTCTCAGAGCCAGGGGTCTGCTAGCAGTTCAGTTTTGAATTTCATGGCTAGATCGCTTACGGGTTGGTCTTGCTGGTAGTGGCATTGTCATCTGATGGTCACTTGGGCAGCTGTTTGGGTAGGAGGGATGATGGCATCTACTACCTCCTCTTGTTCGCATTTCTACTGGGGTATGTGGGAGAGGATGTCAGCTAGAAAGTTCCTCCCCCTTGGGATATGTTTCAACACAAAGTCAAACCGGTTGAAGTAAATACGTAAGATCTCCGACCTCCGGGTGTTTCGCTGCGCACTGAAGACCCTGTTGTTCCGCCAGGCAGAGCTATCAATATAATAATTTTAAATTGGGGTATTTTAATTTTTGGGGTTTTAAATCGGCCAAATTTATTTAATTATTTTAATTTTTAATCATTGTTGTGTCCTGTGTTTTTAAATTGGCTGTACACCGCCCTGAGTCCTTCGGGAGAAGGGCGGTATAGAAATAAAATTATTATTATTATTATTATTGAGCCCAGCGGACTTATTTAGGCAATAATTTTTGCGGAGTCCTAAGGGCCTCCAGATTTTTGTGGTCCGTCTAGACTTTGAACTGTCTCTGCCCCCTTCCAACAGGGGGTGCTAGGTTAGCAGTGCCCAACTCACCGCAAAAGCGGTGGCCTATCATCTCTCTGTGTCTGTGAGCTTGCAGGAGGTGTAGACACAGGGCTGTAGGTTCCCTTGGCTATTTCTTTGGAATAGCACTGCTCCCACTGCCACGTCACTGGCGTCTGCTTGGATGATGAAGGGTTGTTCGGTGTCAGGATGCTTCAGCACTGATTCCTTTGCAAACAGTTCTTTCAGTGTTTCAAATGCCTTTTGGCAGGTTAGGTCCCACTGTAGGGGTTGTCCTGGATGGGCTTTCGTTCCTGGGCTCCCTTTCTTTA